AGGTTGAAAACAGGAGAATTACTATGAGTCTGATCTACATACTGAGACCCTGTACACCCTGCAGACCCTGTCCTAAATACCGAAAAAAAAAAAAAAAAAAAAAATCACAGATTACAGAAGCCACCCCTTGACAGCCTGAGGCTTTGAGGGGGACAACTAGACACAAACCATAATAGAGGGGTCATTGCTAGGGACGGAACCTTGGGCCTCATACACTAGGGAGGCTCTGTAGTGAGCTACAGTCCACTCTTACCACCTGTGTTTTGGTTTTTTTTGTTTGTTTGTTTGTTTGGTGCTGGGGTATTAAACTCAGGACCTTGTACCTACCAGGTACAGAGCTGTATCCCCAACCTCACCACCACTTTTTTTTTTTAAGTTTATTTATATGTGTGTGTGTGTGTGTGTGTGTGGGTGTGGGTGTGGCCAGCTCAGCCCACCAGGCGGCGAGGCTGGCTGGCATGTGGTGCTGGGATTGAACCACAGTCCCTGTGCTTTGCTGAGCTTGTTCTAAGTAGGTGCTTTAGACCACTGAGCCATCTCTCCAGCCCCATTTTTCTTTTTTTTTTAAAAGCGTGTTTTGGTATCAAGAGCATGGTGGGGAAGTAATCTAGAAAATGTTTCAGTAGCCTCAAAGCCAAAGGAGGAACTGAGAAAAGTAAAAGAATAAATGAAATGTAGAATTGATGAGGTCTTAGGCAATTCAACTTGGGTTTACTTAATTGAGAATGAAGAAAGCCAGAGACGTGGCTTGATGGAATCTTTTCTCGGAGGGAAAGCCAAGGCTGAGAGTCCCCTTACGCAAACCTTTAGCAAACTGGTGTTTCCATTGGGCGCCTTATGAGGGCCTCATAATGGCTGCCTGTGCTTTTTAATTTCTGTTGTTACCCGGGCTCTTGCATCTTTCAGGTTCATTTCTTCTCCCTCATGCAATAAGACAGTCACTAAAATTTTTAAAAATCTAGAATAAGATACTATAGAGATCCTGCATAGTATTTAGGAAATTGGCAAAATCAGTAGACAGTAAAGTATCTTGATAGAGTTTTATATTGAGGCTTTCAAGAGGAATCCAGGTACCTCGTCCTGAGGCACACACATCTCTCTCCAGACCTTTCTTGGAAATCCTGATCTTGAAAAAAAATTTACTTAGTCCTTTGTGTTTTAAAATAGGTTTGTTCCGTGGGACCTTTGGATTAAATGGGTAAAGGATGTATAGATCTTATTAAAGAAAAACTATTTTTGAGGTAGACTTTCTCCTCTAGACTATTAGTAGCTAATGTGTCAGAAAGGATTGCACATCATGCTTTAAGTAGTTGTATGTTAGAGCCTTAAAAATATTGACTTAATTTGGCATGCTCACATCATGATTGCTTTGGGCTAAAGGCAGTGGTGCAGCCGTATGGCACGCATGCTGTAGCAGGCTGTTTGTTATCATTGAAAGCTCTAAAAGATTAGCTATCACTGGGCTAGAGGAATTAACAAAAATTCTCAACTATAGAGTCTTACATACCAAACTTGGGCCAGCGGTAGCATAGAATTCTAACCCCCAAGAAACACCTTGGCTTGAAAGTGAAGCTTGTGACTTTGCTTACTGTTGATGCTTCTGGGCTAGACTCTGCCCTGTGTTTTCCCAGGAAAACACTTGCTCCATATGACTGATCTGCTAGGCTTCCATTTGTCATCTCTCTAAGCCAAAAGACAGAATCTTAAAAGGTTTTGAACTGGGAGGTTAGGGACAGCTTGTTCACATTTTGATGAAGTTACAGTAGTTGTTGTTTGTATATAAGTGAATCTTGCTTTCATTCAATAAAAAAGTGGTTATGCCTAGTACTGATGCACAGGGCTAGCATTTAGTATCTCTCAATATATACAACGTACAGTAATTCCACCATGTAATCCTTTGACCCAGCATTTGTCAGCCCTGACTGACAGACTGAAATCTCTTATCTTGCAGATGCTGTTGATGGAGTGATGAATGGAGAATACTACCAGGTATAGAGTACATTATGTTTAATGATAATAGTTGAGAGCATTCCTTTCCTAGAGTTTCAGTTGACTGTGTCATAAAGAAAAGTCAGTCTTTTAACTTTCCTGTATATGTTAGTTGCTGGTATATTAACTATCAAAGTAGAAGGATTTAAAGAGGTGCCATCAGTAGCAAGGGAACCCTTAAGATGTTACTGAGCTGGCCCTAGTGTTAATCACATTTCTGCTTGAGAAATGACCCTTTGCAATGATGACAATAGCTTAAACACCATGCCTTGTACCATGTCAAACACTGTCATAAGTAAATTACCAAATAATTTTCTTTCCATCTTTGTTTATAATCTGGTGAGGGTAAGCTGATGATATTCCCTAGCTCAACAAAGGATATAAGGCTCCAAAGGTGAACATCAATCTGTTTATCAGGTCATCTATTGATTTCCAAATCTTACCTACTGTAAGGAGTCCATCCTCCCCCAATATTTGCCTGCCTTTTTATCTTATTCTCCCTGACTATAGCAATAATACATTTTCTCTCTCTGACTATAGTAATATATTTCTTTTGGACTCCTTAAAATTTTTGTGTACTGTAATTAGGTGGTATTAAATGACCTTTTTGCTAGGTGGTATAATAATACTTAGAATTCTTAGGTTCTAGACCTTGCTTTGCTGTATACTTATTTTGTTAACTTTGAAGATATCACATAATCTCTGTCAGATGAGGAAGCAAATCGCTGTCTTCTAATATATTTGTCACCTACTCACCCCCAGCCTTTCCACTTATATCCCACATGTTAACAGGTAAGATAGCAGCTGCTCTTCCTCCAGAGATTGTAAAATTCAGTGCAATAATGCTGAAAGTGCTCTTTTGGCACATGTGGTTGGATTGTTGCTGTTAAGGTTATCTTTTAATGTTTCACAACAGCCACCGGTGCTGTATGTAACCAGAGGTTCTGGTTTTTACAAAGCATGTTTCAAGAAGCTTGGGGCACTGATAAAGCGCAATTGTGTTTTGTGTTAAGGAGAGTAATGGTCCAACAGACAGTTATGCAGCTATTTCACAAGTGGATCGATTGCAGTCAGAACCTGAAAGTATCCGTAAATGGAGAGAAGAGCAAACCGAGCGTTTAGAAGCCCTTGGTAAGGAATCCCTTTCTATCTTTGAGTGTCTATTTTCAGTAGAATGGTTGACCTGAATTCTACCTTTATCCCTTTCTAGTTTGAATTAGAGTGTCTGTGTCAGGTTTGTGTGTGTGTATCCAGTGCTAGGGATAGATCCCTGGCCTCATGGATGGTAAGTAAGTACTCTACCACTTGGCTATACCCCCAGCTCCTTTTTTTTTCTTTTGAGTACTGGGGATTACTGAACTCAGGACCCTCATATTGCACTATAGTCTAGCCCTTTTTTTATTTTAAGAAACAGTCTTACTAAGTTTCCCAGGCCAGACTCAGATTGGTGATCTTCCTGTTTCATCTGCTGATGTTATATACCATCACCCCTGGCTGCATGGACTTTTTGTTGGCTGATCTGCTTTAAGATACATACTTCAGGCTGGGTGTGGTGGCCAAGGAGGCAAGAGGATCACTGCGAGTTCGAGGCCAACCTGGGCTACATAATGAGATCCTGTCTTAAAAAAGCTACATGCTTCATGTCTAAATATTTCATTGTACATCTAGAATCAGTGGCATTCTGTGTAACAGTAAAGTGAGCAGTATCATTCTTTCTTGATAACCACTGACCTAGTGAAAACATGATTCCTTTTCAGGTGGGGTAGCTGACACCCAGAAATAGGAAAGGACTTAACCCAGATGACATAAGCCAACTGATGCCACATCTTTTTGTTTTTAGTTTATGTAGCTTTCAAAACAAAGATAGCAGTACTATGTAGTAGTCTTTGATGATGGAAATACTCAATCTCTGCGATACCCAGTGTAATAGCCCCTGACCACATGTGACTCTCACATACTTCAAATGTGGTTAGTGTGACTGAGGAATTTAAAGTTTCTTCAACTTTGATAAATGTAAGTAGCCACAGGCTAGTAATTGCTATATTATATAGTGCAGCTTTAGGAAGATGAACATAGTCTTGAGGTGCTAGCAACTGTGGTCCTTGCTTATTGTCTGTGTATCTTGTGGTTAGGCTTAAAGATAGGACTTAGGTGTATACTGCTGGGGTATTTTTATTGTTACTGATCGGAGTAGTTTTCTTTTTTCCTAACGTTAGCAAAATTCGTCCTCTCCATAGAGTGTAGTTCCCTTTTGTGTTCTCTCTCTCTCTCTCTCTCTCTCTCTCTCTCTCTCTCTCTCTCT